CAAATGATGTAACTGGTTTAAGGGAGTCTGAAGAAAAGCTAAAGCAACAACAACAAGAATCTGCACGCAGGGAAAACATCCTTGTAATGCGACTAGCAACCAAGGAACAAGAGATGCAAGAGTGTACTGTAAGTATTTCAAATTATGTCAGCCTTTACCAGAGGGAGTTAGATTAATCCAAATTATTACTTATCAGTATTAAATACTTTGTGGTAATAGCAAATATAAGTACATGTTGTATTCAAGTTATATACTTTAGTTGTATATATGCTAAAAGTAAACTCATACATAGTGTCTCATCATTGGATTAAAAATTTTTTAAAAATCCTTTTATTTATTTGGTACAGGATCTCGCTACACAGCTCAGATTCATAGTGATCTTCCTATCTCAGCCTCCGTAGTGCTGGGACTATAGGTGTGTGTCACTGTTCTTTATTTAAGTGGCTGGCACAATGCTCCCAGGTTTCTGGGGCTGGCATGGCATGTGGTGCCAGGGATTTGATTTTGTACTTTTAGGGAAGGGTCTATAGGGTGTTCAGGATCTCACTACTAGATTGAACTTGTAGTGATCGCCTGTTCACAGCCTCCCAAGAACTGGGATTACAGGCATGTGCCACTATGCCTGGTCTCAATTGCTGTCTCAGCATGCCCCAGGGGCGGGGCCGGCATGGCAGGTCCAGGTATCGAGCCCCCGACCCCTGCTTGCAGGCACTTTAATTCGCTGAGCTGTTTGGCTGGCCTTGATGCCAGGGATTGAACCCAGGTCCTTGCACTGGCCAGGCAGGTGCTTAGACTATAGAGCTAATGCCCCAGCCCAGATTTAAAAAATTTTGAAGGTCTGAGTGAGAAAGCATTCTTAGAAATCTCCATGGTCGGGCTGGTGAGATGGCTCAGTGGTCTAAAGCACCTACTTAGAACAAGCTAAGCTAAGCAAAAGCACAGCGACCGCGGTTCTAATCCCCAGCACCACATGCCAGCCAGCCCCGCCCCCTGGTGGGCTGAGCTGGCCACACACACACACAAAATAAATAAATAAATTAAAAAAGAAATCTCCATGGTGAGAATTAGTGTATCAATTCCAGGTATTTATTCCAACTATTTTATAACCTGGGGGTATAAAAAATAAAAAAATTACCTTTGTTGCTTATTTCCTGTCTGAGCAGGGTGAGTAGTATGTTCTGTTCTCTTGACCCTCTGTGGAATTGTTTGTCCAGCTATTAGCAACTTTGTTGTCTCCTTTTATTTATTTATTTATTTATTTATTTTAAGAGGTGTGTGTGTGTGTGTGTGTGTGTGTGTGTGTGTGTGTGGCCAGCTCAGCCCACCACGGGGCGGGGCTGGCTGGCATGTGGTGCTGGGGGATTGAACCGTGGTCCCTGTGCTTTGCTAAGCTTGTTGTAAGTAGGTGCTTTAGACCACTGAGCCATCTCACCAGCCCCCTCCTTTTAATCATTAGAGATTGCCTGTGTGCCTTTTGTCATTTCTACAAAGCTCTGAAATCTAATGACATATCATAGATTTGTATCACAGTCTTACGCTGTTTCTTAGCCATTACATTCGTATTTCTACTCTTAAAACCTAAATATCTTTTTAAACTCTTTGTTTTCAATTTACTTAATACAAACTTATTAAAATCCTTGTGTAAGCTATTGTCTTGGTCCCTAAAGACATCCAACAATTTCTGTTACTTTTTTTCTTTTGCAAGATGACTTCTTCCCCTCTTACTTTGCTTAACAGTATACCTTGTCCTTTTTTCTGAGTTTAGTTTTCTCACTATTATTGCTACTACTTTATTCACCACTAACCTATTTCCCTTTTATGCAAAAAATGAATCTTGATGAGTTTCTGTCCATGCAAATCATCATCATGGTGGTTGATGACCCACCATGGCTCACTTCCTCCTCCTCCTTTCCTTGCTTCCAAAATAAGACCTCTTCTTTCTGCGCGGGTCAGTCCTTTCATCAGCACACTGTTTACACCACCATACTGTCTGTGTAAACTCCACCTCTAGCCCAACCTAGTAAAAACCCCATACCCAGCTCACTCCGCCAAGGGCTTGCAGTTTTTTCACAACCCTCCCACATTGAGCAGTAAAGGATTTTTTTACTTTCTCCTGCTTCTCTTTCATACCAGAGGAAGGAGCCTTGCAAATCATATAATGTGCTTGGGAGAATGTAAATGGGTAGTGGCAAAACTCAAATGGTTACATATCATATACTGATCAGGCCTGCAACCTCTCCTAAACAAGTGGATGACTTGAATAAAAGAGAGAAATGTTATGATTTTAGGGCTCCAGGAGGATCAAAACCCACTAACAAAATTCAAGATTGCCTGGAGGTTGAGACAAAGCACTTCTCTGGGAAGCTTGTATTTATTTGGTTTTCAAACAAAGGAAGTGGGTACTGAAGCAAGCCTGGTAATTAACAGGACCTTAAGAGTCAGTTCAAAGACTTCTCCAAGTAGTAAATTTGGCCATTAAGAGTGACTTATCTCTAAGGTTGGTGGCTCTGTTGCTCTGGAATAGGGGGTATCAGCAGCCCACATCTTTGGTTGCCTCAGCTGTGACTATCTTGACTTCAGAAGCCATGCATATGCTCTTCTTTCAGCACAGCCAGAGGTCCCTGTGTTCAGCAACTTAACCCTGTACAGCCCAGTCTCCAGTTAAGAGTTAGGAATTTTCCTGATTACTAACTACTCTTGATACCATAAGTTTTTTTCAGCCTTATTTTTTATAGCTCTTGCCTATAGCTAGTTTTTTTTTTTTACTTATTATACAGAGTAAAGTATTGCAGGTTGGGTAGAATAACACAATAACACAAGGAAGAAGATAGATTATATGTGGCAGGTAGACTTGGAAGTTTCCAGTGAGGTTGAATGCATAGTCTTTTTTATCTTTTGTATGTATTTATTTATTTGGTACAGGGTCTCACTATATAGCTCAGACTCTTAGTGATCCTCCTGTTTCATCCTCCCCAGTGCTGGGATTACAGGATTGTGCCACCATGCCCAGACTTGGTCATTGGGGCTCAGCATACCCGGGGGCAGGGTCGGCACAGCATGGGGTGCCAGGGATGGAATCCCGGTCCCTGCTGTTGCCTAAGTCGGCTCTTAGTCCACTAAGCTATCTCACCAGCTTGAGGTTGAAAAAATAGGACAGCACCCCCCAGCCAAAAAGAAAGAAAGGACTTGAGATCTTGGATGAATTGATGGAATCACCAAAAATTTTTTTTTTCCCCCCAGAACCGGGGATTGAACCCAGATCCTTGTGTTTGCCAGTCAAGCACTTATCCTACTGAGCCATCTCCCCGGCCCTTCACCAAAAGATTTTTAAGCAGGGAATTTATGTAGGTGATCAGATAAGTATCTTAGGTAAATCATTGGTTTGAGCATGGAGGGTAGATTTGAGGGGAAAAAAAATAGTACTGCTATAAGAAAAACATTTGGAAGACTCTTACAGTCCAGAGGAATAAAAAAAATTCCAGATGTAATAACAATCCACTGGTGTCAGGAATGCTCATGGGATATTTTAGAGGCACAATCAATAGTTCAGTGTTACTGGAGAAGGAATGAGTAAATTTAGGGAGACATCACAGATTATCAGGTTTAGAGACTGGGCGTGGTGGTGTGCACCTTTAATTCCAGCTCTTGGGAAGCTGTAAACAGGCAGATAGATCACTACGAGTCTGATCTACAGGTTTATCTTTTGTGTGACTGAGTGATAATGCCACTAGGTAGAACCTATCATATTTAAAAAGAAGAGCAGAATATAATGTTAGACGGAGGAAATGACCCCCTCCCTCCAAAAAGCTGAAGAAAGTGTTAGTGTTAAAAAAAAACTCTGTAATTTTAAATTGTTGGATTTGACAATTAGGATGCTATGGGCTACTTTAATGGCACCTGTTTTCAGTTGAGGGTTTGGGCAGAGCAGCATTGCAGTTAAATGAGTAGTGGGTGGTATGTCAAGTAGAGACATGGGTAAGATTATTTCTTTAGTAAGTTTACTTAATACTAACAGTTTCTTGGTGGTGGTTATACAGGATTGAGAGAGTTTAAGGTGAAACATTTTGGAAAATGTTTAGGCTGTAGATGAGCTATGAAATAGGAGTTTGGAGATAAAGAATTCAAAGGTTTAAAGAGGCAGGAAGGAACAGGTTAATCAAATAGGTAGTTGAAGGGATTGACCAAAATGTTTCCAGGAACCTTTTATTTCTGTATAGGTCTTCTGTTTGCCTGACATACTTACTTTCTCTCTAAACATCTAATTACATAATTTCAGATAACCCAGAACGTTGTATAACATGGCTAGAAAAGAAACACTAAACCATGCCCCCAGCCCTTAATTATATAAATCGTCATTTTTCTGTCTTTCTCAAGGCACTTGGTAATGTTTGTGTGGCTTTTTTTGTTTTGTCTTATTTTTGTGGCTGGCTTAGCCCATCCTGGGGGCAGGGCTGGTGTGGCATGTGGTGCCAGGGATCAAACGGCAGTCCCTGCATGCTTGCCTAAGCAGATGCTTTAGGCCACTGAGCTATCTCACTAGCCAATGTTTGTGTGTTTCGTTTTGTGATACTATAGGGTGAACTCAGGTCTTAATTTAACCAAAGAAAGTTACTGATATTGAATTTTTTTGTCCTGAGATGAAACCCTGGTTAGAAACATACTAGGCAAGCTCTGCACCATTGAACTACAAGTTAGTTTTTTTTTTTTTTTTTTTTTTTTTTGGCGGAACCGGGGATTGAACTCAGACCCTTGCGCTTGCTAGGGAAGCGCTTATTCCACTGAGCCATCTCCCCGGCCCCTACAAGTTAGTTTTGCGGGTTGAACAGATAGTCCCATCAGATTAAAATGCCTGCTTAGGCAGATGCAGGGACTAGGGTTCCTCTGCCATGCTAGCCTCACCCTTGGGGCACACTGACGAAACAAAGTGGCTTGCGCCTGTAATCCCAGCACTTGGGAGGCTGAAAACAGGAGGATCACTATGAGTCTGATCTGTGTAGTGAGACCCTGTACTAAAATCCATTTTAAAAAAGTAAATAAAAATCAGTTTTGCTTTTCTCAGTGACTTTCCTATTTTATTTTTTTGAGAGGTCTTTCACTGGCCTCACTGTAGTTCACAATGAACTGAAAA